AAAAAAAACGAAGTCCAGATGACATGATTCAACCTTTTTTGTTGTTAATAACATGTACAGTTTTTTTTTTTTTTTTCTGTGATCACAACTTTACATGATTGATTTGATTTAAATAATTTCTGTATTACAACTGATTGCTTGGTTTGTAGACTAAATTACCGGTAGTATAAGTCTTAATGTCAGCCCTCACAAATATGTTACAGCGTTAATGTTTTTACTCATAAAATGTGAAATTGATATTGTTGCTTGTGTCTGCAGCTCATTATTATAAGACTAAACACAACTAAGACTTTTTTTAAAGCCAACATTAAGTTTAAACTGTTTTTTTCCTGCAAAACAAGAAAATATCAGAGACAGAGTAATATAACTGTAAACTTGTATTTATTCAACATTATTATTGCTTTTCAACAATAAGTGGGTACATTTGACCTTATTATTTAGCCTGAAGCTATTCTCATGTCCTTATGGTCAGGTTCCTATCAGATTCTTCTGCTTGGAGAGTTTTAAATTCCTCATGCACGCTCTTCTCTTGTCTTGTGTTTGTAGGACGACCAGGTGGTGCTTCAGTGCACGGCGTCGATCCTTAAAGAGCAGATCAAGTTGTGTTTGTCGTGTGAAGGGTTTGGGAATCGGCTGTGTTTCCTGGAAACCACCTCAAATGCTCAGGTACATGAAAGGACTCAACGTTTATTCATTTATTTTTGAATCTGTTTGCAAAGTTTTACTGGTTGTCCTGTGTTTCAGAATGTCCCTCCAGACCTCGCAATCTGCTGCTTCATTTTGGAGCAGTCTCTGTCTGTACGAGCGTTACAGGAGATGCTGTCCAACTCCTCCATGGACGAGGTGAGACTCTTTTCAGTTCATTTCAGCTTTACCGTGTTAAATTATACTGTAACTCTATTTTAATTGGCTTTAATAAAGCAGCACAATGTATTTTCCTATAAGTAAAATCTACTGTTTTTTATCTGATTTTATGGTAACATATCTAATGAAGGCAGTCGATTTGGACAAATGGGTAAGTCTGATCAGTGTTCCATGAATTTCTGTGCAATACTTTGTCTTGAATTCTCACTGTACCAAATCTATACCAGAGTTTTTTTTACTAACCTGGTTTGTGGTGTCAAAATATTTTAAATCAACACATGAATTGATGTAATAGGTCACTTTTGAAAATTGGGTTGCCACATCAAAATCCAAAATGGCTACTCCACTATTCGTGTACATGTAAACCTTGAAAGTTTTATAGGTTGAAAAATAAGCAACGTGCTGACTTCTATTTTGGTGTGTAACTTCATCTAGGCATAAAGAAAGTCCCTATCCCTGGGGTGTCCCTTGACCTTGGCCACTGCAGACTAATCTTTGGTCACCCCAGAAGAAATCCAAGTTGGCCACTGTCATATAATGTAAACTGGCCACCCCTGATCATTTGAGGAAACTATTTCTAGTATTTATATTGCTTAGAAGAATCGTTTCCTCAAATGGTTGGGGTGGCCAGTGGGGTGATGATCTATGGCGGCCAAGGCCACCATTGGCCACATTCTGGCTCCTCCATTGAGGCTGGTGGATGACAAAATTTCTCCCTCCACTCACCAAAATATATATATATATAAAAAAAACCTCCCTCTGTTCTTCTCCACAGTGTAGCTCCTACCCATTTGAACATCTTGCACCAAAAACATTAAGGTTTACTTCATTCTCTGTTCCATTCCAGTACAAAAAAACACTCATCTCCAAAACTACAAACATTCACCATTCAAACTTCTCAGCGATGGGGGACATCAGTGTACCACTTGTTATCTTAAAGAAATACCAGATGTAACTTCCTTCTTTGTCTTTTTAGAAAATGTTTTAGTTATGAGTTTTCTCAGTCTAATGTATTTTTAGTTGTTTGTTCAGTGACAAAGGCCACTTGCATGAAAAAACACTTATAACTTTAAAGTATTGTCATTTTTGAACTCTTGCTGATTTGCTTTCCTGATTTGATACTTTCCTTTTTACATTTACCTGTCACATGCCATCTCAATTGTAAAAAAAGATTGTTGCTTTTAGCTTATATTTATTTCATGACTGGAGTCTGTAACTGCACTGCTAAGGTCAATCATGCTTCAAACTTTTTAGTCATCACAAGGTGGAGGCAGCCGAACTCTGCTGTACGGACACGCCATTCTCCTGAAACACACTCACTCCAACATGGTGAGTGTATCAATCATTATTATTATTATTACTGTTCTGTAAAAGTGAAAATCCTAATTTGTGTTTTTTGTCTGAAGTATTTAAGCTGCCTGACCACATCTCGCTCACTGACAGACAAGCTGGCCTTTGATGTGGGCTTGCAGGAAGACTCCACAGGTTAGACTATGAAAGTTACTGCTCAGTGTGACCCCCACCTCCCCACACCAACATACAAATGTTTATTCTTAATTTTTGCTTGTCGTAGGTGAGGCCTGCTGGTGGACCATACATCCAGCATCCAAGCAAAGGTCTGAGGGTGAAAAGGTCAGGGTCGGAGATGACCTCATCCTCGTCAGTGCTTCTTCAGAACGATATCTGGTAATCATTACTGTTTAAACACATCATCAAAATAAACTTTGTAGGCACTTTTTGTCCCCCATTACAGCGCAAAGACAGGAACTGGAAATACCCTCCATCTGTCCTGTGAGAATGATAATTTGAAAAACAAGTGGCTGACTTTAATTTTGGTGTGTGGCTGCATCTAGGTACAAAAAAAAGGTCCCTAACAAAAAACTGAGTTGCCACGTCATTTGAGAAAACTATGCTTTCTAGTTTTTTATATTGTTTAAAAGTATAGTTTCCTGAAATGATTGGGGTGGCCAAAGACTGTTCTATGGTGACCAAGGCCACTGTTGGCTACCTGCTGGCTCCACCCCTGGTAGTGGTTAACATTTGTCCCTCCATTCGTCAGGATCCGTCATTTTGCACTGCCAAAGGAAAACCAAAATAAATAAATAAAAACTCCCTCTGTTATTCTACACAGTGTAACTCCTATATCTTAAGTTTCAATTTCAGTCTAAAAAAACACTCATCTCCAAATCTACATTTATGTTGGTGAAGATTCTCAGCCATCCAGGACAGGGTAAATCTCCAAAAATGTTTAAGAAACAAAACAACTGGACTTCTAATTCTTTCAGCTACAGAATAGAAGTCCAGTTGTTTAGTTTTTTAAACTTTTTTGGGGATTTAAAAAACATTTACTATTGAAACCCCTCAGTGACAGGGGGACATGTGTGTACGTCATTGGCGTCAGAAGCATTTATAATGTGAGGGGGGGACAAACTGGTGTGTGTGGGTGGGGGGTCCTCCCGGTCCTCCCCCAGAAATCTTTGAATAAAGTAGATGCCATTTCCTGCATTCTGGTGTATTTTAACGGGTTGTTAAACGTCTATGCTAACCTACATAAGTAAATACTTGATTCAATAACTATTTTAGAGAGTAACAATAAGTAGTCTGACCAACAGCTCTCCTTGTGTGAATAGAGCTCGCTCCGCTTCTGTCACGTATCCTAGCTGAAGCCATTGAAAACTGCCAGAACTAATGTAGCGCTAAGCTAGCAGCACGCAATACAGACACGTTGGATAAGATGCTACATAGCGCACCACTTCTCTCATACATCCTAACACCCCCCACTCCCATCAACAACTTCCAGCACTAATATGGCGCTACGCTAGCGCGCAAAACAGAGGTGTCTCCCCCTCCTTCCCCCATGAGCACCCTTCCAAGGCAGATGACGAAGGGGAAACACTACATGTGGTGGTGAGTTGTAGATAACCAGGAAAACCCAGAGTGGAATTTTAGTGGTTTGAATAGTCTCCTATTAATCAAGTGGAATGGATTAATTCACGAAGAAATAAAACCAGTGCTGGGTGAACTAATATTTCATGGTAAATGTGGGGTGTCCAAATTAATATTTTTTTAAATGTGAGGGGGTCACTTCCCCTTCACAAATAATTGTTGCAACGTGTACGCTTTTTTTTCTTTTAGTTTTTTACTAATTTTCCCACCTTTGCTCTTTTCAGCACCTCTCCTATGCCAGTGGGGACCTGATGGTAGATGCGTCTTTTATGCAAACCCTGTGGACCATGACACCCGTGATGTCTGGATGCGAACTCGCTGAAGGTCTGTCATTTGACTGTTTCCATGATGTCTTTCACAAAAAAAAAAACGCTTCAGTTCTTTTTAGCAATACTCTTGTTTTCTAGGTTTTCTGACTGGAGGTTATGTGCTCCGACTGTTTCATGGCCACATGGATGAGTGTTTGGCAATTCCAGGAGCTGATCAGGGGGACGACCAGCGCAGGTTACCTGTGTTTTTTATTGCAGTGCATGGAATTACTGATTATTTAGCTCTGTCTTGGTAGAACTTGGCTAAATTACCTGAATTGTTACGTAAATTGTTGTGAAACTGTGTCTGATTTTCTCTAAAGTTTAATGGTGATATAAAAACTGTCTCTAAACTCTAAAGCATTTCTGAGCTTAAAACTTTTTTTTTTAAGACAACAGAGATTAAGCTATGTGCTTATCCTTAGAACTGAGTTCTCAACTTATTATCAGCTCAAATAAATTGGGCAACATTAATTAAATCAAATTGATGGGTAAAAAACACATGAACAAAATAAAATGTGCTCAGATCTTGGATCCTAATCAAAATGTTTGTCATTTTTCAGTCTAAAGTACCCAGAGACTTGACGTTTTCTTTCCAGAGTTGCTCATTATGAAGGCGGTGCTGTGTGCAGTCACGCTCGATCCTTGTGGAGACTCGAGCCACTACGGATCGCGTGAGTGTCTCGTTTCTTTCTCACTTGCAGTGATTCTGAGATTTGCCTGGGCTTATTTATTTGACTTTATTTTGGTAGATGGAGCGGAGGTCACATTAAGTGGGGCCAGTCTTTCCGGATACGCCACATCACGACAGGAAGATACCTGTTCCTTGACGAGGAGAAAGGACTTCTGCTGGTTGACCCAGAAAAAGCCTATTCCAAGATGTCAGCTTTCTGCTTCAGAATTTCGAAGGTCGTTTTTATAAAAGGTCAACAGTATCAGCTTTGAGTAAAGATTTTGTAAAAGACATAAGTGACATATATTGGTGTTTCATACTGCAGGAAAAAATCGAAGTGACCCAGAAGCGAGACGTGGAGGGCATGGGCACACCTGAGATAAAATATGGAGAGTCCATGTGCTTCGTGCAGCATGTTTCTGCTGGTCTCTGGCTCACATATGCAGCTGTTGATGCCAAATCTGCTCGTCTAGGCCCTCTGAAAAGAAAGGTATATGGAATTACAGCTGAAGATAGAGACTGACCAATACAGGTTGTTCTAGCGATGTTACAAAAATGAAATCTAAGTTTCTCAATTATATTAAAACTTTTATTGGATGCAGCTGAAAATGACAAAGATTCTCAAGTTTGGAATTTAAAAAAAAAGCAAATTTCTTCTGTGACCTGGTCAGATCTTGATTTCAAGGCTTCAAAAATCACTTTTGGGTCAACAGATTGTCATGAAAGTAACTCAAAATTTAGAATTACTATTATTATTATTATTATTATTTACAAATTTACATTTTAATGAATCCTAGACATCTGCAGTGTGAATGTTGATCCCTGGACTCTAAGCCAAATGCGTAAACTCGCCTGTCTCACTGGTAGAGGATTGTAACACACCTAGTTGTTCTGATGCCTTTTTTCTTAGAAATCAGGGATGCAGATGACACATGGCTTCCAAAAGAGGGAAATACATTTAAACCCAAAACAGAGTTGGTCATGTTGTAATGAACGAGGGGGACCCGGAAATTCAATCATACACAGGAGTGAATGGGAAGTGAACTCCTGAGGAAGAAAATAACTGCAGAGTTTAATCATGGGTGGAGATGCTGAAGCTGTGATGATGTCAGAGGAAAGGGAGGTTTGGAGGGACGGAGGTACAGCCAGATCACGTGATACATGAGTGTAACCTGTAAGATCCGACAAACACTCCTCTTCAGGTTGTGGAGCTTGGTTCAAAGAACTCACCACTCCTTGAGTCCAGGGCCTGAGGTCGTGGTCAAAATACAGGCGTGGGTCATTCACAGAGAGACAGAAAAGGCAATACTTATCTGAGGGGTTTAGAGGAAATCGGTGGTCAGAAGGTAGAGTATAAGTAGAGGTCCAGATATTTGATGGGCAGAAGTTATCTGTCTTGGGCAAGGCAAAAAGGAGAAGAATCCATGGTCATGAAGTGGGTCAATAACAAGAGCAAGAAACAAGATAGGAGGATACTTCAGGCATGAGACAATCTGACAGGGAGGCAGAGAATGGGGAGTGTTTAAGAAGCGCAGCACACAGTGACATGTAGGAGGAGAAGGCAGCAGACCAAGATTTAAAGATGAAAATGTACCAGTGAAAGAGTGTGTGAAGTTAATGATGACCAGTGAACTAGTGAATACAGGGTGCAGTGGTGGGTACGGTAGTTACAGCCAGTTATGAGTCTTAGTGCACTGTGATAGACAGCGTCCAACATTGGCAGGGTGCTTGTAGGAGCGTTCATAAATAAATAAGTAAATAATGTCACCGTAGTCAATGGAGGGAAGGAAAGTCGCAGTTACAAGGCATTTCCTAGTGTTCAGAGTTAGACAGGATCTATTTCTGAAAAAAAACCCAAAAAAAACCCAGTTTAATTTTCTGTTTCTTTACCAAGTTTTCGACATGGAACTTGAAAGAGAGATGCAAATTGACCAAGATACTCAAGTATTTGTAGGAATCGATCAACTCAGTAGGAACACTATTCAAAGATAAAATCGAGGGAAGGACTGCTGGGACCGGCTTCATGTTTGAAAATAGCATCCCTTTGGTTTGTTGGCATTTATTACAAGTTTGAGACAGAACAAATCTGACTGCATGATGTCAAAAGCAAATTGCAAAAGATGGAAAACAACAACAGTTTTAGCTCAATAATAAACAACTGTGTTGTCAGTATAGAAATGTAAGGATGCATCAGGGATGATCTGACCTACCTGTAGATTGTGAAGAAGGTGGGTCCTTAGACTGAGCCTTGTGGTACACCATTGTTAACTGTTAAATATCTGGAAGAAGTACCATTATGTTGAACACATTGCCTCCGATCTTACCTTTTACCGAAGTTACCTCTATTTAACCATCTTTTTCTCTAAAATGACATGTAACTAATTCAATATAAATGGTTCTAAACATTGGCACACAAATCGAGTGATGCCGTGCTGCTGGCCTGGTGTCACATGCTTTACACTTTTACTGTCTTCACAGCGATAGCAGCACTCTCCTGACAATAAATGCAGCTGTATGCTAATGTGTTGCTCAGGCAAGGCCAGCAGTCAACACATCTGATAAAGCATCTGCTCTGTTTTGCATCAGTGTAGGATATCTGTTGATGTTTTAAGAGTGACCTTTGTTTATTTTTTAGGCTATACTCCATAAAGAAGGTCACATGGACGACGCGCTCACCGTCGCTCGTTCTCAAACTGAAGAGTCCCAAGCAGCCAGGATGATTTACAGCACAACAGGCCTCTTCAACCAGTTCATCAAGTAGATCTTCTGTTTTACTGTCACTAAGTCTCAGATAATAGACTTTTCCCCATTACAATTCATTTTGTTTGTCTTCACTGTTCTTTTCATGCCTCCAGAGGTCTAGATGCTTTAAGTGGGAAAAACAAATCCACCAATTCTCCATCTCTGCCGATGGACACAGTGGTGCTCTCACTACAGGATCTGATTTTTTACTTCAGACCTCCTGAGGAGGAACTAGAGCACGAGGACAAACAGTTTAAGCTTCGCTCTCTCAAGAACAGACAGAACCTGTTCCAGGAGGAGGTTGGTTGGCATTTTGAGACTTTATTGTGTGTGAAAAGAGCTGAAGTTTGAATCTCACTGTTGTGTGTAGTTTTTATTGTTAATTCTTTATTGTTCCGTTCTAGGGAATGATCACTTTGGTCCTGGACTGCATCGACCGGCTCAATGTGTATAACACTGCTGCCCACTTTTCAGAGTTTGCGGGGGAAGAAGCTGCAGAGTCGTGGAAAGAGATCGTAAATTTGCTGTACGAATTGTTAGGTTTGTGACTTTTGTGCTTTCAGACGTTGTGGAATGCGTTCTTGTTTTTGAATCTGCTGCATCACTCGTTTTTCCTGCTTCTCTGTCTGCGTGAAGCCTCACTGATCAGAGGAAATCGTGCTAACTGTGCCCTGTTCTGTGACAACCTCGACTGGCTGGTCAGTAAACTGGACCGACTGGAAGCATCGTCAGGTAGGACTGGAAGCACAGTTTGGTTTATTTTTGTCCAAAAGCAAACATTTATTCCACTGACATCCTCTGGCATGATAAATGTTGAAAGACTATTACAGAAAATCTAAACAGAGATAAAATACAATCTAGGATTGTGATACATCCTTGTTGTTTTTATACTCCTGTTAGGAATCTGCTCAAGATAATTTAACAAAATTTCATACACATATGTGTCATGGTTTGTGGTATGTTGAGACCTAAAAACAGACAGATGCCTGGATTCAAATCTTAATAAGGTAAACAGATTTTAATCTCCAAAACCAAACAAACACGCTGATGTGTCAGCCAGAACAAATTGCAAAATCTTGTGGCGAACCAACACGAGAGCGGAGCCAGGACAGACACACGAGGTGTATAATGCCTAACTAACGAACAAAACCAAACGCAGGACAATTAATGACAAAACTAATGAACAAAATCATGAACACTTAGCAGGGAAACAAACTGGAACAGGTGAGCGTGGACGGCACCGGAGTAGAAACAGGAGGGCAGGAAGCACAGAGGAACTCTGAGGAGCTGCCAATGAAAAGTCAAGAAATACTAAAGCTAAATGATAAATAAACCAAATGATAAATTAACTAAATGATAAATAAACCAAATGATAAATAAACCAAATGATAAATATCCTCACACTTATGCATCATCACTGGACAGAGTGTCTCATACATTTTTCATCTCCACATTCAAGGTCACAAATCAAGGTCAAAATTAAAAACAAGGTCTTAGCTTGTTTGGGTCATTGCTATGGATTTCTGTATAATAGTTTGGCGAATGTGCTGTATGTGATGCTCTTCTCTAAAAAACTTTTAGTCAACTATTTTTTATTTACGTATCATCAAAGCATAAATATTTATAATGTATGCTGTCATTTGTCTGATAGGAATCCTGGAGGTTCTGTATTGTGTTCTGATTGAGAGTCCAGAGGTGTTGAACATCATCCAGGAGAATCACATCAAATCGATCATTTCTCTTCTGGATAAGCATGGACGCAACCACAAGGTGAATAATATGCAATATTCATATCTTAACCTGATGATAAGAGAAAAATAATTACAGTCTTCATGGAGATGTCCTGATCACTTCCTGTCAGGTTTTGGATGTACTCTGCTCTCTGTGTGTGTGTAACGGGGTGGCTGTGCGGTCCAATCAGAACCTCATCACAGAGAATCTACTTCCTGGTCGTGACCTCCTGCTTCAAACCAACATTATCAACTATGTCACCAGGTGAGTCGATGTGTTTGAAACTGCAGACGTTTTCTAATTTAAACAGCTTCTCTAAGTCGGGCTTTTATTTTGTAACCCCTCGTCAGCATGAGACCCAACATTTTCCTCGGAACCTGTGAAGGATCCACTCAGTACAAGAAGTGGTATTTTGAGGTGATGGTTGACCACGTGGAGCCGTTTCTTACCGCTCAGCCATATCACCTTCGTGTGGGTTGGGCTCTGACGGAGGGCTATAGCCCTTACCCTGGGGGTGGGGAGGGCTGGGGTGGAAACGGTGTTGGTGATGACCTCTACTCCTATGGCTTTGATGGGCTTTTCCTCTGGTCAGGTAAAGCAATATTTAATGAATTCATATTTTCCATGAAATTGATTTATCATCATTAGAGATTTAGTTTGTACAGAAAAGATGCTTCTTTTTAACATGGGCAGGACGTGTCCAGCGCCATGTTGCCTCCTCCAATCAACACCTGCTGGCAGCTGAGGACGTGATCAGCTGCTGTTTGGATTTAAGTGTGCCCAGCATCTCCTTCCGCATCAACGGACATCCGGTCCAGGGGATGTTTGAGAACTTCAACCTGGACGGCCTCTTCTTTCCAGTTGTCAGCTTCTCTGCGGGCGTGAAGTAGGACGTTAAAACAACAGATTTGAAAGCAGGCTTCTGTGGAAAGGGTCTGAACAATTATTGGCTTACATACTGAAGATATTTTGCTGACTATTTTTGATGAGGCTAATCTGAGCGAGGTTTGGACCAAAGTGGATTAAAATGGGTTTCTTGTGATTGACACCTCGTGTCTCAATAAGATTATGTGTATAAATAAGGGAAAGAAAACAACTCAAAACTTGCAACATTTCAGAGAGGTTCATATAAACAACATTTTATGAGCTCACATCAGTTGTGCATTACATGAATACTGTTGTCCTCCTTCATGGAACAAATATGGGGACCTGGAAATACCATCCATGTTATAAACATATACAGATGGCCTCCGGAAAGTATTCACAGCGCTTCACTTTTCCATATTTTGTTATTTTACAGCCTTAGTCCAAGTTGTATTAAACCAATCTCTTTCCTCAAAATTCTTTATATAATACCCCATTATGACAATGTAAACAAAGAGTTTTAGAGATTTTTGCAAATTTATTAAAAATAGAAAACTATTTTATAAAAATATAGAAATATTAAACTTAAATTTTTGCATGTATTTAATTAAAATTCAATATTAAAAA